GGATTGCCGTCGAGTCAAGGTTTGGGAGCAAGGAGAGTTCCATCGAGTCAAGCGTGTGCAGCAGGGATAGCCAGATTGATTCTGGGATATTTTGGATTTGCCACGCAGGCGTCAGGGAATAGAATAGCCAAGGCGGGAATACACCTATGACATTCCATCGCTTTCACGCAGGAGCTGTTGGAGGGCGGATACGGCGTCGCAAAGGGGAGGGATAGTGGTGATAGCCATCGTCGACTTGATGACTGTGCGCCGGGGCTATATCAGTTGGAGTGTCATAGCGGGCCGCTGCCTGCCCAACACGAAGCAGCCGGAACATCAACAGCTACCAGGAAAAGTCATCGAGTTGCAGAAAGGCACGCGGGGGGCTTTGCTACCCGACGCTTCTCATGGATCTGAAGGGAATACGGAGCGGAGATCTTCGCTGGCCGGATCCTGCAAGCAAGCAGGGAGTGCAGGGCGGAGGGCTTCTCTGCCTGCAGGGAATACGGAGTGGAGATCTTCGCTGGCCGGATCCTGCAAGCACGCAGGGAGTGCAGGGTGGAGGGCTTCTCTGTCTGCAGGGATACGAACTGGAGATATTTGCTGCCCGGATCCTTCAAGCAGGAACTGCAGAGTGGAGGGCCTGTGATACCTGCAGGGAATACAGAGTGGAGATCTTTGCTGCTCAAACCTTCCCGAAGGAATAGAAGTACCAGCGCTTCACGTCCATTACTTCACTGTTTTGGTCCCGAAGGGATACAGATAGCGGAGCTTCACGTCCCTTACTTCACTGTTTTGGTCCCGAAGGGACACAGATAGCGGAGCTTCACGTCCCTTACTTCACTGTTTTGGGTCCCGAAGGGATACAGATAGCGGAGCTTCACGTCCCTTACTTCACTGTTTTGGTCCCGAGGGGATACAGATAGCGGAGCTTCACGTCCCTTACTTCACTGTTTTGGTCCCGAAGGGATACAGATCGGAGCTTCACGTCCCTTACTTCACTGTTTTGGTCCCGAAGGGATACAGATAGCGGAGCTTCACGTCCCTTACTTCACTGTTTCGACCCCGAGGGATACAGGCATCGGAGCTTCGCGTCCTCTACTTCACTGTTCTGGCCCGGGATGGGATACAAGGCGTACTAAATTTACTAAATACACCGTTGCCGGTCTTGACGTTTGGCGCCCAGCAGTCGGACCTCGTCTCAGAAAGGCAAAGGGAGTATGGTGCATGGTGAGCTTCGCGGACGGCAACCTCAAGGGGATATTTCGCAGCGTTGTGAGCATGAGGAACACGTATAGGGGATAGGCCCGACTCTTCCGGAACAGGGATAGGACTACGACGTATTGTTAATCTTGTACATCTTAATGCAGTACGCCTGGGATAGAAAGGACATAGGTGTGGTTTTGTTGGTCGACATCCGGGGGGCGGTGGGATATGTGTGACGTTGTGTATGTCCACGCGGTGCCCACAAGCCGGGGGGAGCTTTCTATGAGTTTGAGTTCGTCTACAGATAGTTCGCTCGTATAGAAACGGGATAGTTACGATATCTAGGAAAATGTATGCGTCAACGCAAAGACCACCGGCACAGGGGGGAAAGGACAACTATGACATTGTCTATGTCACCACGGTATCTGCGAGCCGGGGGGAGTGGATAGAAATGCGTAGTACTACATGGAGATTACGACACGAGTGAAGGGATTACACGTCGAGGCTGAATACGGTGCGCGGGGGGGAGTACATGTTACTATGCGTGTGAACCGGAAGCTGGCAAAGGAAAATGCTGACGAACATCTACGTGACGACCGGTGGCCGGGGGGATAGAAGGAAGGATTAGCCGTGAGCCTGCCTGCCAATGCATGATGATCAACGTTCCGGACGGGAGGCTGTTCGATGTCTACGAACATAACAACGCAGTGTATGGCAGATCTGCAGAATGCGGAGACAATGTTGCTGCGAGACGGAGCGTGCACGGCAGCGGAGGCATGGCTGATCACCAATAAGTCCTCGCGGCCAGAGCGGCGACTATCAGTGGGAGTAGGTGCCCGCCGTTGCGACGCACTTGGACGAGAGAAACCACGACGAGAAGAAGGAAGACGCCTGCCACCATCAACGGCGTCACGTCTGCTGATGTGCGTGGGATGGCTCCTCACGTCGTTGGACGAGGTGGCGTGGCAAGGGATAGATCTGCAGGGCGCATGCGACGTCATGCCCCTAGCGCATGGAGTGATGCAGCGGTTAGGATTGCCATGGCCCGCTGTCCTCCGCGGCTCTGCTTCGTCGCGTGAGCCAAGCCTGGGATAGGACTTTCCGGATAGGGGATATATTCGTCGAGGACATGTACGTAAAGAAGGCGCTGGGTGAGATGAGTGGGAGCGACGCAGCTACTGCTTCAACTGCGAGCAGCTGGCCTTATGGGCGTTCCCTGACGGGCGCAGACCAACCAATGACGAAGGTTACTTGTGAGTGGAGGGGCGTGGCTGATCACCAGTAAGTCCTCTCGGCCCTCGTCAGACAGCTTCTGTGGGCATGGCTGGCCACCATTAAGTCCCTCCTGCAAAAGAAAGGGCTACATCGTCTAGGAGGGGTACTGAACCAAGTGAAAGGGCCGATGTTGCAAGGGATAGTGCCTGGACGAGATGAACTGAGTTTCGGCGTAAGGGGATAGAAGATGAGTGACCAATTTTCCAATGATGCGGATTAGCAAACATCTTGGGTGCATGTATTAGGGCACCGTCGAAGACGTGTGTGCTCAGACGATGATTCCGAAGGTTTGCGGATGACGGTGTTGCTTCCGAGGGTCGCCGATGTGGTCTTCGTAATCGCGGGTGGTGGTGGGCGCCTCAAAGGGGCTGGAGACCGTGCTGGCGATCCCTCCTGCGTTTGTGTTGAAGGTCTGATGCAAACCGGACGAGGATTCGCGAATTCATCGTTTATGCTGGGAGACGTCACTCTGCGAGCTGACGCCCCCATCACGGGGGGTGTTTCGCACCACGTCTTTCAGGTACTTTCGGGGGAGCAATTGTTTTGATGTCAGTTGATTTCGGGTTTGCTCCGGGATGGATGTCGACCTCCTCGCGGACGAGCCGGAATAGCGCGCTGAGCCTCGGGATAGATGGAGGGGCCTGGATAGAATTTCGTGTGCTGTTGCTGTCTGGGCTTACAGGGCAACAAGACAGCAACATAAGCACACTGCACATTCATTCACCTTTCTCTTTTGTTTGTTTCTTGACTTCGTCCGTGTAGCTGCGCCCCACTTGTACAGTTTTGCCCCCGTGGATAGTGTCCCTGTACGTGGTGGATCCGCTTAGCCAACTCGCAGCCGGAGGCCAGAGGAGCTAAAACGATCGGGCGTCGACGAGGGATAGATCCTTTTCCCTAACCCTTGGGATAGTTATCTGTTCTCTATACAACTCATAGCCGGAGGCCGGAGGATACTGAGGATAGGTGGCTGTCCAGGTGAATATTGGGATAGGTGTACAACACGCAGCCGGACGGCTAGTGGATACATCTTGAACGATAGGTTACCACCCCCTGGAGATAGCAACTTTGGGGATCCTTCCGATAGTTAACGTCGGGAGTGGCTTGGAACGATAGGCTAGCTACCTTGAGTTCCCCGTTGGCAGGGATACTGCTACTTCTGCAGCAACATTACACCTTACAACTGTATATAACCAACTTCCTTGTCTACTTGGGTCTGATCAACCGGAATAGTGGACACAGTTTTTCAGTTCTTCGACGCGCAAGTTTTCCTTGGTTTGGACACTTCGCACATATGCGTTTATGTAGGGTTTCTTGAGGGTTTATAGAGGTACTTGACGTACCAGCTGGCCCCTTCATTAGTTTCATTGCTTTCCCCCAAGTAGGTGCAAACTGGCATGTATTTCCCAGTGGCAACTGTCGCAAGGAGGGTGCTCTAAACCCTAAACCCTAAACCCTAAATCCTAAACCCTAAACCCTAAAGGGTCTCTTGAAGAACATGGTTCGCAAGGTAGGGCCGGGGCCCTCCATAGTCGGAATATGGCAGAGACGCCTTCTTTATGTTTGGGGTTTTGGGTTTTGGGGTTTTGGGGTTTTGGGGTTTTGGGTGTTTAAGGTTTAGGGTTTCGGTTTTCTGGTTTTTAGGTTTTTAGGGTTTTAGAGTCTGAACCTTGCGGGATTCGACGGCACCGTCCAAGCTTGAAGTCCTGCTTTGAATTCTCACAAGTCTGCTGGAAACGCCCCAATACCAGAAGCCACCATCTGAGATGCAGACTTCGTCGCGGAAGCGGGGGCGCGGAAGCTCAGACTATCATCGGAGCTGACAGGGTTTGGGATGTTGTGTGTGTGTGCACGCGTGCGCACGTGTGGGCGTGCGCATGCGTGTGTTTTCCTGAGGGACCAAATGAACCCTGAACGGGTTTATGGTTGATATCCCCTAAGTGGTTATAGTAGTCTAATTAGGGTGTATGAGCCAAATTTTAGGGTTCATCTGGTTCTCAAGGTTAGGTTCCCATTTTCCGGAACCTGCCTTCATTGCAGGGTCTTTGAGTGCTAGGACCCAGAGTAGGCCCTTCTTTCTCCTTTCTTTAGGGTTTAGGTTCCCTTACAAGCCCCGTTAAACCAACAAGGATACCCTTTTTATTCCTAGGATACCCTTGGGTCTGGACCCTACTGGGCCCTAATCGCCCCTGCTGGTTGCTGGGATTTCCGCGCTTGCTTTGTCAACGGTGCGCTGCTCTTCCTGGCCGTTGCTGCAAGGATTGCTCAAGCAAGACCCTCGCTTCAGGTGGCAGAGCTTAAAGGCACCCCCTGCTTGATTCGAGCGCGTGCGGCCACTGCGTCGCGCGCACTCGGGCCACCTAGGGATACTTGGAAATGATTTTTTCTTTTTGGGTTACTATAATCCCTAAGAAACAGCAAAACAACTAATTGTTGCCCCTAAACCCCAAACCCTAAACCCTAAACCCTAAACCCTAAACCCTAAACCCTAAACCCTAAACCCTAAACCCTAAACCCTAAACCCTAAAAGTTCAGTAGAGGCCATGGCAGGATGGTCTCGGGCCTGGCTGTTCCTACTCTGCCTGGCCGCTGGTGAAGCGGCTGCTCCCCAGGAGGCCCATATCAAGGAGACCTGCTGCTTCTTAGCTTAGGGTTTAGGGTTTAGGGTTTAAGGTTTAGGGTTTAGGGTTTAGGGTTTAGGGTTTAGGGTTTAGGGTTTAGGGTTTAGGGTTTAGGGTTTAGGGTTTAGGGTTTAGGGTTTAGGGTTTAATCCGTTTCAGGGTTATTGTAGGGGAGACATAAGATACCTGACTCCTTATTTTCGGATTAGTAAAGTCAGGACCCCATTGAATCCCTTGAAGGGATCTCCTACATGGGACTATATACCAAACCCTACGAATTCCCCGTCAGGAGATGGTGGCGGCGGTCTTTTCCCCACTATCAGCTAAGGGTTCCGCTGGAGATCTTGCCATTGTGCCCCGGTACGCCGACATGCTGGTGTCCAAGAATGTCACTCTCGGTCCCTGGAAGACCTTGTATCTTCATGTAAATTTCAACCTCTGGGGGGGCTTTACAGTTTAAGAGGGCTTCCCCAAACCCGAAACCCTGGACCCTAAATAAACCCGAAACCCTAGGCCCTAAACCCTAAACCCTAAACCCGAGACCCTAAACCCTAAACCCCAAATTAAACCCGAAAACCGAAACCCCAAGCCAGGCTTTGGGTTCCAAGCCTCAAGTATCGCCAACCTAGGTCACCAGCGTCCTGGTTGCCGGTACCACAGGGGAGTCCCTGTCGCTCAACGTTGCCGGGGTTGACTTGAAATGTGTTTGTTTCAAGTTCTTGGGGTTTACGGTTTAGGGTTCTATGGGCCCTGTTCCTTACAAAGCCCTCTTAGCCCATACCTAAACCCTAAAAACCCTAAACCCTTAACCCTAAACCCTGAACCCTGAACCCTAAACCCTAAACCCTAAACCCTAAACCCTAAACCCTAAACCCTAAACCCTAAACCCTAAACCCTAAACCCTAAACCCTAAACCCTAAACCCTAAACACCCCCCCCCCCCCCCCCCACCCCTACTACCATAAATTCCCAGGTCCAAGAGCGAAAAAACCTGGGAGACGCCTGGGCTGCCACAGCCAAAACGCATGGCATGAAAGTGCACCGCGGCTTTGTGCATGAGGCGACAGCGGGTTTGGGGTTTCGGGTTTAGGGTTAAAGGTTTAGGGTTTAGGGTTAGAGGTTTAGGGTTTAGGGTTTCGGGATTAGGGTTTAGGGGGGTAATGTAGGGAATTGGGCTTTTGGGCTGAGGGCTGAGGTTCGGAATAGGATTTTGGAGTTGCAGAGTTCTGTTACACATTCCTTCAATGGATGGTTTATTTACTTGTGTTTGCTTTCTACATATGTATCTGGGCATTAGGTACCCTAGCAACCCTACGTTTACCTTCAAACGGGAGCTAAGGCACTGCACCGTCTTCCCTTGTTCCAACTTCAGAACTCGAACCCTAAACCCTAAATCCTGAACCCGAAACCCCAAACCCTAAATCCTAAATCCTAAATCCTGAACCCTAAACCCTAAAGCCTAAACCCTAAACAGTAAATCCTAGACACGAGGCCCCTCAGCTCCAAGATTTCATGAGCCCTGCTGGCCGAGTTGGGTTTGGGGTTTGGGGTTTAGGGTTTAGGGTTTGGGGTTTAGGGTTCAGGGTTTAGGGTTTAGGGTTCAGGGTTTAGGGTTCAGGGTTTAGGGTTTAGCGTTTAGGTTCTGAACCATCATGTCGTGAGGTACATACACGTCGGTGCCGAGAGTGTGGTTGACACCATAGCGCTCGCTCAGCATGCAGCTCTCACAGCCGGTTTCCTCGGCAGCAGCGTGGGGGGGGGGGGGGGGGGGGGGGGGGTGGAAACCCTAAGCCCGTAAACCCGAAACCCCTGAACCTCTGAACCCAAAAAACCCTAAACCCTAAACTCCTAAACCCCTAAACTCCTAAACCCCCTGAACCCTAAAACCCCTCAACAAAACCCTTAAAACCCTAAGCACCCCACACCCCCACACCCCCACACCCCCAAACCCCCAAACCCCCAAACCCCCAAACCCCCAAACCCCCAAACCCCCAAACCCCCAAACCCCCAAACCCCCAAACCCCCAAACCCCAACCCAAACCAAACCAACTTCCCTGGAGCCTGAGACCAGGTGTACAAAGAATGCCTACCTGGCCCTACCCCCCCCCCCCCCGGGAAAAAAAAACAAAGAAAAAACCCCAGAACCCTCGAAGCCCTAATGCCCAAAAAACCCGAAAAAAAAAACTCGACACCCGTAAGACCCTTAAAGCCATACAGAAACCCCTAAGCCCTAAAGCCCTAAAGCCCTCAAAAAGCCCTAACGCCCTTAAAGCCCTAAAAATCCCTAAAGCCCAGGAGCTACTTCTGGGGGTTTACGAACATGAGGGACCCCTAATTGTGACCCCAAGCAGTGGGGTTCCCTGTTTAAAAAAGGACCCCAAAAGAGTAGGATTCCCTTCTACTTGTAATGTAGGAAGGACCCCTAATATAGACCCCAAGTAGTGGGTTCCCATATACTTATAATTATAGTCAGGACCCTAATCTAGACCCCCAAGCAGTGGGGTTCCCTTATTATAAGGACCCCAAGAGTTCCCCTATGCTTATAGTCAGGACCCTAATATAGACCCCCAGATAGTAGGATTCCCTTCTCAAAAGAACCCCAAAAGAGTAGGATTCCCTTATAGCAAGGACTCCCAATATAGATCCCAAATAGTATAGGATTCCCTTCTCATACGGACCCCACGAAGGTGCCCCCTTATTCCGGAAACCTCCCCGCTTGTACCCTTAATTTCTTATAGCAAGGACTCCTAATATAGACCCCAAAGAGAAAGAACCCCAAACCCTAAACCAGCAAGGACTCCTAGTACAGATCCCCAAATAGAAAGATTTTTCTAAGGACCCCAATAAGGTGCCCCCTACACTTCTGGTGCTTTTCTGCACCGCCTTTGGGAGTTTTGAAGTTTTGTTGGTCATGAGTTATAAGGGGCCTTGTGAGCCCAGGAGGGTTTAGGGCTTAGGGCTTAGGGTTCAGGGTTTAGGGTTTAAGGTTTAGGGTTAGGGTTGGGGGTTAGGGCTGATGAGCCGTGTGTGAGATTGTGGGTCTTTCCCGAATAGAAGTGCTTCTATACTTACGGTTGTAAGCCGCATGTCGGCGTTGGTGAGGGGGGGGGGTTATCGAGAAATGGCCAGCTGGGTGGGGGGGTGTTGCCCTTGCGTTCATTACATTTGTTGGGGGTTCCTCGGCAAACCAATATCAAGGCCCATAAGCCCCGTATGTGTAAAGGAGGGGGTACCACGGCCGAGGTGTCGCCGGCCTCGTTTGCCAAACGCCGACCTTCTTCAAGCCTCTTACATGGAAGTGCTGCACCCTAAACCCTAAACCCCAAACCCTTGACCCTTAACCCTAAACCCTGAACCCTTAAACCTTAAACCCTAAACCCTAAAGCCTAAACCCTAAACCCTAAACCCTAAGCCCTAAGCCCTAAAGCCTAAACCCTAAACCCTAAACCCTAAACCCTAAACCTAGTTCCAGGTCCCCGAAGCACTGCAGACTCAAGCCTAATGTTCTCTTAGAAGCGGCCAAAGCTAAAGCCACTGCTGGCAGCTTCGCATGGTCGAACAGCAGCCTATGCTCAAAAGGAAGGGCTTGGGGGTTTGGGGTTTAGGGTTTAGGGGTTTGGGGTTTAGGGTTTAGGGTGGCTGCTTGTGCATTGTTTAGGATTTACGTAGAGTTTAAGGTTTTTTTCTTGCGCCATACTGGGTAACAAGTTTGACGATTCTAAAGCTCACCCATTGCTTAGTTTCCTGTTGTTCAGTTGCAGACTTTCCGTTCTCAACTTCTCGATCAAATGTAACACGTTCCGCTTGAGAGATTATCGAACCCCAACCACTAAACCTCAAACCCTAAACCTGGCTAACCCAAAGTGGCAACAATAGTATACCTAGCAAATTTAGACCTGAAGCTCCAGTTCGACTGAAAGCTTTGGAGCACACCTTCCGTAGACTGGTTCGGTTTAGGGTTCAGGGCTCAGGGCTCAGGGCTCAGGGCTCAGGGCTCAGGGCTCAGGGCTCAGGGCTCAGGGCTCAGGGCTCAGGGCTCAGGGCTCAGGGCGCTTAGGGCTTAGGGCGTAGGGCGTAGGGCGTAGGGCGTAGGGCGTAGGGCTTAGGGCTTAGGGCTGGGGGCTTAGGGCTTAGGGCTTAGGGCTTAGGGCTTAGGGCTTAGGGCTTAGGGCTTAGGGCTTAGGGCTTAGGGCTTAGGGCTTAGGGCTTAGGGCTTAGGGCTTAGGGCTTAATTAGGGCCTCAAGTATAATAGTACATAATGTTCAGGATTTCGAACATCTGAGCCTCTGTAGGAGCAGCAGCGACGCTTGCAGGCTGCATTTTTTTTGGGCACCATCTACCCTCATTGCTAAAACCCGAAAAAACACTGCACAGGCAGGCCACACCCCAACATCCGATGACGCTACATCTTAACGATCTGAACCCTATTCCCTAAACACTAAACCTCCAACCTTCGCTAACCCTATAAACCTTAGTAAACCCTAGACCCGAAACTTCTAAGCCCTCACCCCTAAACCCTAAACCCCAACTCCCAACATTTGCAGCTGTGAAGCTAAGGCCCAGTGTTGAGACGCTGCATGACGCTTGGCTCCATTCTTTCGTGCATGAGGCTTTAGTGATGTTTGGAATTTATGAACGACCAATGGTATACCCTCATCACCTGAAACAGCTAGCATAGAAGCTGCACAAACAAAAATAGCCATCCCAATTCCACAGCTTCTTCAGTAAGGCTTGGGCCTAGGGGACCCTATAGCCTGTATGATTTAGCCCTTAAAGGGCGCGAGGGTTAGGGTCTGGGGGCTGATAGAATCGGGGCCTAGTGGAGGCTGCGGTTGGCATCAAGAAACTGTAGGGGTCGAGAGAATTTTTGAATAAGAGTCTCTTAGGGTCCCCTTGCAGTTATACAGAATAACCCCCCAACACCCCATTCGAATTACTCAGCCCCCTATATTACCCAAAGCCCCAAACCCCAAACCGTAAACCATCCCTCCGTGCTCTTCTTAACATATCGAATTCTTGCACATATATATATATATACATATATATATAGAGTGTGTGCAAAAGGGTTATATAACAAGTGGCCCAAACCCTAAACCCTAAACCCTAAATCCTAAACCCTAAACGCTAAACCCTACACCCTAAACCCTAAACCAAAGGGACCAAATGAGAGGCCCAGACCTTCTGATCCTTTCATCTTTTGACATGCGAGCGGTTTTGCAGAGGACTACCTCGTGGAGGTCGGGCGCAAGGTGCCGCACCTGCCTCTGTGGCCCCTGGGAAGCAGGGTTTAGGGTTTAGGGTTTAGGTTTTAGGGTTTAGGGTTTACGTAGGGTTTAGGGCCACCCCAAGTTTTACAGCGGCACCCTGCCCGGTAACAAAGAGCCGCTGAAGAAGTCTTGTTTGGGCTCTCGTTGGGAAACTTAAGCTGTGCCATAATCATGGTACTATATAGATGGTCAGTTCTTCAAATTATGCCCCTGTTTATGGGGGCCTTAAAATATTGGGGGGGACGCTTTATAATAGTAACCCCAAAAGGGACCTTGATGTAGAGAAGTGGCTATAGCATGCTGACTACTACAAATTGAACACAACATCGATGTGGCCCCTCCAACAGTCCCGGCTGATTCTCAAAGCTTAGCGAAAGCCGAACAATCGCTCAACAAAAAGAAGGACATGTAAACCGAAGCGTCCAAGCACTATGTTAACATGTGCAAGCCTTTCATTTGCAAAAGGGTAACCTGCCAGCTCTGATGGAACTAATGATGTGAATGTGAGTTTTGGATTTTGGGGTGAAGCTCTCTCTCCTTCCGAGGTACTACCACTTCCCTGACAAGTCCGGCGTGCTGAGTGGGCAGGCTGCAGCACGCAAATGAGTGAGCGATGTCCCTACACCAGATGGAAACCCCATCGTTCCAGCGCACCAAGTGAAGGGCTCAAGAAATCGTTGGAGCCTCCCAGCCCATGGCGAGCACCCTAACTCCAAAACTCCCAAGCCCAACAGCCGCAAACCCTACACCCCTAAACCCCAAACCCCTAAACCCCCGAAACCCAAACCCCTGAACCCCTAAACCGCCAAACCCTCAAACCCAAGCGTTATCGAACAACCCCCAACCCAAGAAGGGCGGTGTGACGGGGTGTTTAGGGTGATTTAAGGTTTTTTTGGTTGTTTTCAAAGGTTTTGAAAGGGTTGTTCAAGGGTTTTAAGGGTTTTCAGGGGTTTTAGATACACGTACACATACACATACACATACGCATACGCATACGCATACACATACACATACACATACACATACACATACACATACACATACACACACACACATACACATACACATATACACACATACACACATACACACATACACACACACACACACAGCCTCGGCTGTTTGAACAGGCGCACCTGCTTCTGGAAATGATCCACGAGCGCAAGGACCGCACCCGATTCGTGCCCACAAAACCCCCAAAACCGCCTACACACCCGGTGGTTACATAGGGATCCTTATAAGATGGTTCTTAAGGCAAATCTATTTTTTTCTCTTAGACGTCCTCGCTTAGGAAAGGGGGAAGGAGACCAAGTCTTTGGAACGCCTGTTCCGGACACCTGTCGGCCGGAATGAAGGGGTTCGGAGGCGGCCATGGGGCCAACAACAAGATTTAATCACAACAATATGAATATCAATATCATAGCAACAGTAGCAATCAGAACAGCAACGCCCATAATAACAAGTTGCCCCCAATCATAGCAGAGAAAAACCACAAGAACAAGTTGATGGGTGGCCTCAAGCAGGTGAGAGCCTAACAGTTCTTCAAAGTCGCTTGTGGCATCTCTCAAACCTCCACATCTGGCGCGCGGCGTGAGAAGCCCAAACTCCGGACCCTAAACCCTGAACCCAAAACACGAGAGAAAGTCTCTGTGCTTTGTAGTCTCAGGGTTGGGCTCTGGTGTTGAAGGGCCTCGAAGTTCTCCAGACATCCAGAGGGCCGGAGTAAAGGAGTCTTCTCTTTCTAGGGTTTTCAGGGTGAGATAAGGGTTCTCTTAATCTAGGGCAGATTTTTCAGGTTTTTGTGTGCTGCGCCATCTTTGCCTCAGGAGATCCCGAATTTTGCCGGCATTAAGTTCACGGATGTGAATCTGATGGACTTCCAGCTGTGCCAGATGGTCGGTTCCTGGGCTCGACCCTATTCTCTTAAAAACGCGAAGGGCTTAGGGTTTGGGTTTAGTGTTAGGGTTTAGGGTTTAGGGTTTAGGATTTAGGGTTAGGGTTTAGGGGTTTAGGGGTTTAGGGGTTTAGGGGTTTAGGGGTTTAGGGGTTTAGGGGTTTAGGGGTTTAGGGGTTTAGGGGTTTAGGGTTTAGGGCTTCGGGCCATTAAAAGCCTAAGAAGCTCGGGACCCTGAACCATGGACACCCCCGAAGCCCTTCAACCCCACTCAACCCGCCGGCCCTGCAAGAAGGTTCTGTCTAGGGTGTAATGGGATGCAAGATCTTAGGTGAACGTGCTAAGCACCCGGCTATGTTGATGACGGATGCCACTCCATAGCCTACACCCTAAGCCCCCTGGCATCCCGAAGCCCTAAGCCCTACACCCGCGACAGCCTACAACCCTCAACCCTCGCAGAGGCGGCGGAGCCTATAACATGCTCTACGGCCGGGACGAGCAGTACTTGGCCGCAGCCGCCTTGGGAGCGGACCGAGGGGGCCCAAGAGAGGGGTTTCCCCCGGGGGTTTAGTTATATGGTTTTTGAAAATAGCTTTTAGAGCGTTTAGGGTGTTTTTTCAGGTTGGGTGGTGTTTTAGGGTTGAGGGTTTATATGATAGGACTTAGAGTGTTTCGGGTTCATGAGGTTGAGGCTTTCAAGGTTTAACTGGGTGTCAGCTGAGAAAAATGGAGACCCCTTATTTCTCGAACCCTGTGTGCAACGCAGGACGCTCCAATCAGTTCGACCGTGCAGTTCTCGCCCTGGCTTCGAGAAACTTGCCGAAGTTGGGCAGGGTTTAGTCTTTAGGGAGCCACAAAGCCTGAACCCTAGAATGCTAGAAAAACCTCAACCCCGCGCCAACCCCCCCCCCCCCCTCTCCCGTCCACCCCTATATAACCCCTAACCCCAAACCCTAAACCCCAAACCCTACAAACCCCAAACCCTACAAACCCCAAACCCCAAACCTTAGACCCTAAACCCCAAGTCCTAAACCCCATACCCTAAACCCCAAACCCTAACCCTCCCCCCCCCCCCCCCCCCCCCCCCCCCCCCCTCCCCCCCCCAAAAGATTAGAAATTTCGCCAGAGGAAGTGTTCCGGCTCACGAAGCTCGGGAAGCTCTGGGAAGCCCAGGGTCCCCAGCAGGTGCAGCTTGGGGTTTAGGGTTTAGGGTTTAGGGTTTAGGGTTTAGGTTTAGGGTGTAGGGTTTGTAGAGTTTTGGGTTTGTAGGGCATTTAACCGGGCGTGTAGGGTTTTTTGGATGTTTGGGTTTCTTAGGGCTTTTAATTGCAAACGCTTGCGCGCGCCGCCTCGGCAGCCGGGCCGATCCCACAGGAAAGGAGGAAAGCGGGCCTTTTAAAAGAAAGGGGAGGGGGGGTCCAGGGAAGGGTAGGGGTCCCAGGCAGGGTCCCAGGAAGGGTCTGGAGGTCTCAGGGAGGGTTCCAGCACATCTGTGCGCACGCGTCTCTTGAGAGAGCTACTTACCTAGTCGATGAGGGCGTTGCTGCTACGAAACAGTCGGCAGCACGAGCTACAGGTAGCGCTCTCAACACCATAACTCCATGTCCTTTGTCATAGTTGGGTAACATTTTACATTTTTAAGGGTACTTAAACCCAATAAGGAGTATAAATTTAAACTTTTAATATTATCTCAACAATGAACAAGTGTCTGGGAGGCCGTAGCGAAACTCTGCAGCACCTTCTCCGCCTTCGAGGGCTCCGCGTGCCTTGTGATGCGTTTTAGAGCCGGCTTGCCTGAGTGCCCAACATTCCTGGGTCCTCCTACTTGTCCTACTTCCCCCCTCTATCCCCCCCCCACCCCCTACGCTCCCCCCCCCCATAATGGGGCTATTTAGGGATGACTAAGACTGATTAAGGTTGTTTCGGCTCAGGGCAGGGTGTTCAGGTGGGGGGAGTGTAAGGATTTGAAGGTAGATGTGAGGGTACATCTCCTCCATTGCCTCTGTACACAACCACGCTTACTCCCGCATGTCCTATCGGCATGCAGTTTTCGAGGAACTCAAGCTCTTGTGCTGGAAGGCGTGCTTGACGAAGAGCCCTAACCCTTCAAGTCACAACCCCAAAAGCCCAAACCGACGAGTCCTTGGGCCAGAGGCCGCAAATCCAGCTTGGGCAGGGAGACTTGAACCTTATAAATCATAAACCCCTAAATGAAGGCTTATCGGTCCTCGACCCTGTAAACCCTCTAAGCCCTAATAAACCCGAAACACCCATAAACCCTATGGGCCCTGTCTACCCTAAAAACCCTTCGAAGACCCCCCTCTGAAACCCTCAACCAAGCTGAGGAACGTTCAGAAAGCCGTCATGCAGATGGTCCTCCCCGTGGGCCCTTCCCGGCTTCCCTACCGAGATCTGAGCGAGGGGGAAGCCTCCACGCTGGAGCGCGACCTCAGAGCAGAGAAGCTGCTCGATCCCAAGTTTTCTGCAACCTACAGCGCAATAGCCGTGTAGCCACCAGTGTCCCAGAATCCTACTTCACACATTCTACCGAATCTGCATGAAAATTTGTAGATTACGTAGGAAGGTCATATACGCCTATGTCGGAGACGAAGCTTTCTTAAACCTCCATCACCAGTTGCAGGGTTGGGGCACGAATCAAGTCGTTGCTGGCAGGGCCTGCGTGCTGCGCAAAATCCGTCCAGGACGCGCAGGCTTTCCCGGCAGAGCCCCAGCATTGCTCAAAAAGGTGCGACACACCACTGGCACAACTGCAGCAACATATTTGAGGGTTTACGATATTAGGGGCACCTTATTGGGGTCCTTATTATATCCTACTATTTGGGGGGTCCCCTACTTTTGTAAACCCCCCTACGGCCCATGCTGTCGGGACATTCAGGCTCAAAGGCCCCATCCTTAGCACTATAGACTACACGATCCTGCGCAAAAAAGCGGTTTAGGGTTTAGGGTTTAGGGTTTAGGGTTTAGGGTTTAGGGTTTAGGGTTTAGGGTTTAGGGTTTAGGGAAGCCCGCACACACTCAACCTCGTTATGAACCTGGCTTTTGAAAAGTTGGGCTCTGGGAGCGTCTTTCCGGGTGAACTCGTAACACTGACAGGCTTCGCAGCGCACCTGAAATGCCCCTAGAAACCTAAACTTGGAGGTTCATGGTACTCACTAACCTAATAAGGACTGTACTTGTAACCCAATTATAACCATATTAGGGCACTTAAGGGGCTTAGATACACTTGGTTAATAAGTACCATGAACCTCCAAATACATATGTCTGGCGCATCTGCCCTAAACTAAACAGGGTTTAGCATTTGGGGATGAGGGTTTCGGGTCCTAATCCCCTGAACCTTCTTTAGGGTTTATGGGTTCAGGGTTCAGGTGGTTTAGAGTTGGGTGATAAGCCCCGCCTAAACAAGGTTTGGCTTTTAGGGTCGGGTCCTAATCCCCGAAACCTCTAAACCCCTGGAACCTACAGCCTCTAAACCCCTAAAAGTTCGGATGCTTAAATCCAGAATCGGAATGCCGACGTTGAACCCTCAACCCTTACCATGCAGCCGAAGCATGCTAAACCGTAAAAAATAAAGCACGCGCCCCGGCCGCCCCCGATTTTTTTTCTCAGCCAGCCGCGTGAGTAACAGAAAGGCGTGCTGAGCAAAAAGCGTACAGAACCAAAACAAAAAACACTCTTACCCTGAATTGGAAGTTTCCTCCGGATCCGGATTCACGAAATGTTGGGAGTTCAGGGGCCCATGTGTTTGGGGCGCAGGGGTTCAGGGTTCAGGGTAGGGTTCAGGGTACAGGGTTCAGGGGCTTTAAGGTTTAGGGTTTAGAGCTTCTAAGGTGCTGGACATTGAGGAGGCGCCGTACCTGGCATACTCCACGGCCAGTCCCGGGGCTCAGAAACCGACCCCATGCAATAAGGTTGAGGGTTTAGGGTTGAGGGTTGAGGGTTTAGGTCCCAATGTGAGGGTTTAGGACTTATAGGGTTTAGGGTTCTAGACTCTTACGGAGTCGTGGAACCCCAAACCGAAAGACTGAAAGACCTGAACCCTCTGACGCCCCGACATTTGAACCGAGCACACCTTGCTAGCACTCCCGGTGCCCCAGTGCTCATTTTCAGGGGCTTAGGTCATTGTTGAAATCTATCCGTCCACCAACTGCTAAGCCTCAAACCCTTATAAGCCCAAAACCATAAACCCTAAGCCCTAAACTCTAAACCCCAAACCCTAAACCTTAAGCCCCAAACCCAGGCCCTATCTAAACCCTAACCCTTCTCTGGCATTGGGGAGGGATCCCATCCCTAGAGACTAGAGGGTAGGCATCCTTGCTCCCGATATCTCTGACAACCTAGCCTTTGGGCCCTTTGTGCCTTCAACTGTACTGTAGCGTTTATTGAGGCTTAAAGGGCGTTTTAGGGTATTTATGTGGCTTAAGGTCCTCCCAGGATTTAGCGTAGTTATTCAGGGTTTCGGGTGTTTGTTGCGTGTGCGTCTTTATTATCGTGTTTATACGGTTTTTAGTTGTTGGTTTAAGCTTGAATAGGGGTAGAGTCGCAGCCAAGACCTGGTGGTTGCCGCCACCGACATTGCCACGCAGGGGCCCCGCGTGCACTGCGAATCTGAAGTTTTTGTTCAGGGGTTCTAAGGCTTTATAGGGTCTTTTTCAGTGTTTACAGAGTTTATATCGGGTTTGTGGCTTATAGATTTGAGTTCGTAGACACTCAAACCGTAAAACCCGTTCATGAACCCCTCTACGAAATGCATCAATCCCTGTACCTTTCATAGTTGCCCATACCGCAAGTTCTTTACAAGCCCCTAACTCCTTTCATTTATAAACCAAAGGATGTTGGTGGGCGGATCCGGTTTGTGAGCCATCTTTGGTACGCTAAGCATATAAAACAAGGGAGACCCCAAGAGGTCCCGCAATGCAACCCCCTTGTCTGTGATCTTTCGTGGGCAAGCAATCCGGCAAACATCCCCTCAAAGCCCGAAAAAACCCTAAAACCCTAAAAACCCCAAAAACCCTAAACACCCTAAAAACCCTAAACCCTAACCCCAAAACCTTAAACCCCACCCAAGTCATTCCCCAAGAGACCCTTTGAGGCCGATGGTCGTGGCATTTCAGACGTCCCTGGCCTCCGCGGCCGGCCTAGGGATTAGGGTCTAAGGTTTAGGGTTTAGGGTTGAAACCCTAAACCCTAATTGCTGACCCTTAATTGGGAACCGAAGCTACCCGAATATCTACGATTTGTTTGCAGTCAGGACCAAAGCCAGCCTGCTGTACATTTCCTCAGGTTTGGCTTGTCTGTTTAGGCGGGGGGGGGGGGGGGGGGGGGTGGCAGGGTTTAGGGTTTTAGGGTTTGGGGATTAGGGTTTAGGGTTTTGGGGGGGGGGGGGGGTTGTGGAGTAAGGGGCTCGTGGCGCGGGCACGAACACACAGGAGGCTTAGGGAAAGCTCGGCAAGGAGGATTAGCCGGGTTGGGAGGTTGAAGGTTGAAGAGTCTTCAAGTTGAACAGGATCCCCAAACCCAAACCCCAAACCCCAAACCCCAAACCCCAAACCCCAAACCCCAAACCCCAAACCCCAAACCCCAAACCCCAAACCCTAAACCCTAAACCCTAAACCCCAAACCCTAAACCCTAAACCCTAAACCCTAAACCCTAGTCCGTCGAGAAGTTACTGGGGCCAGCGCAGGTCCGCTATCAGGCAGCCGAGAACTCAATGATGCTGAGATTCAACCTGCTCGACCCGCAGATACGTGGGAGCCCCATTTGTTGATCAGGGTTTAGGGTTCAGGGTTCAGGGTTTAGGGTTTAGGGTTTAGGGTGTAGGGTTTAGGGTTTAGGGTGTAGGGTGTAGGGTTTAGGGTTTAAGGTGTAGGGTGTAGGGTTTAGGGTGTAGAGTTTAGGGTGCAGGGTGTTAGTAGTGGTGGGCGGGGATTTAAAAGGTTTGCCGTACAGGTGTTTACATTATCTACCGCAAGGGTTATTAGGCATTAGGGTTTCGGGTTTAGAGGTCAGGGTTTACGGTTTACGGCACCCTATAGAACCGACAGCTCGCTTCTGTCCATGCGCCCTACGTCCCCAAAGCCCCAACACCTTACGACCCAGAATCCTATAAGTCAGAAAGTCCAAGGCTAAGCACCCAGAACCGGATCGAGTTCAGATTCAGGCTTTCAGGCGTTTGTTGCGATGACGGGTTGACCTGTATTGTGGATCCTTTTTGTGTTCTCCCTTGTGCAGAACAGTTCTTGTAGAGTCTGGGGTGTACACAACTGGTCCCATCATGTAGATCACCTTACACTCTAAACCCTGAACCCTAAACCCTAAACCCTAAACCCTAAACCCTAAACCTCCGTGGGATGGAACCAAAGACATCCTCATATGCCTTATGCCGTGGTAGTGGTGGCCCTATACATCATCGTCAGGCTGGCGGGCGGCCGATACGAACGCCACAATGCTGAGCCCACGACCCAGTTCTACTTGAGCGGCCCTTCCCCGCCCCAAGAAGACCTTAGCCCTTCTGCCGCTACATTGCGGCCGAAATTCAGGGAGGTTCGTGGGGTTTCAATGGGCTTCGAGGGGTTAGGGTACTAAAGGGTTCGGAATAAGTACTGATAGTATTCCCTTATGGTCCCTATCTAATTGCACTAGAAACCCTAAACCGGAAACCTAAGAGTCCGATTCCATTTATTATGGGTCCCATATCAGGGCCGCCTGACTTGACTCTCAATTATTCTTTCTTTCGCTGTCTCTGATTTCCAAGTCATCCCATCAAGACCCTAGGGGCTTGTGAGTCTTCCGCCCCAGACGCCCTTAATACAGCTCAGGGTTCAGGGTTCAGATTTGTGGGTTAGGTTTCAGGCGGTTTAGGGTTCAGGGTTCAGGGGGTTCAGGGCTTTGGGTTTAGCGTAGGGCTTAGAGTTCAGGTTTTCGGGTCCAGGGCTTCTACAGGGTTTAGGGTGTCGGGCTTATATGGGTTCTTCAAGACATCATAATCATAGACGCAAGCCACAGACACGATTCCACAACGTTCCCTCACGTACTCTTGGGTCTAGGTTTAGGATTTAAGGTTTAGGGTTTAGGGTTTTGGGTTTGGGGTTTCGGGCTTCACCTCAACAAACAAAGCCCCAGTCGACGACCTTGACCGCAACGTCCTGGGCGAAGAGGATCAGGTGCTCAAGAGCTGAGTGTCAGGGGGTTGATAGCCCTAAACCCTAGACCCTAAACCCAAAACTTGATAGCCCTAAACCCTAGACCCAAAACCCAAAACTTGATAGCCCTAAACCCTAGACCCTAAACCCAATACCCAACTCCCCTTACACCTGCCCAAGCTTGAGGTTGCCAGGAGGGGCCGGGTGTGTTTTTGTGACTCTGAGTTGCTTGGGGGGCTTGCGGTCTTTGCACAGCCTTTGGCGTGAGAACCCGCTGTCACACTCCCAGGTCCGTTCTTCGGCGACCTAGGACCCGAAACCCTAAACCCTAAACCCTAAACCCTAAACCC